CGTCAATTTTAACTCCAATAAAAAAAAATTGACCTCATACATAGTGAAAAGGGTAGCTTTATCATTTCATAAGAAAATAATTATAGTAAATATATTAATTCAGGAAAACTTGGCTTATTAGGCAAATCGGGCCTTGAATAGTAGGCTGAGAAGTGAGTTCTGGCTACTAGGTTCGACATATATATATATATATATATATATATATATATATATATATATATATATATATATATATATATATATATATATATATATATATATATATATATATATATATATATATATATATATATATATATATATATATATATATATATATATATATATATATATATATATATATATATATATATATATATATATATATATATATATATATATATATATATATATATATATATATACATATATATATACAGTATATGTATATATATATATATGTATATGTCGTACCTAGTAGCCAGAACTCACTTTTTGGCCTACTATTCAAGGCCCGATTTGCCTTATAAGCCAAGTTTTCCTGAATTAATATATTTTTTCTAATTTTTTTCTTATGAAATGATAAAGCTACCCATTTCATTATGTATGAGGTCAATTTTTTTTTATTGGAGTTAAAATTAACGTAGATATATGACCGAACCTAACCAACCAAACCTAACCTAACCTAACCTATATATATAGGTAAGGTTAGGTTAGGTAGCCAAAAAAGCTAGGTTAGGTTAGGTTAGGTAGGTTAGGTAGACGAAAAAACATTAATTCATGAAAACTTGGCTTATTAGGCAAATCGGGCCTTGAATAGTAGGCTGAGAAGTGCGTTCTGGCTATTAGGTACGACATATATATATATACATATATATATATACATATATATATATATATATATATATATATATATATATATATATATATATATATATATATATATATATATATATATATATATATATATATATATATATATATATATATATATATATATATATATATATATATATATATATATATATATATATATATATATATATATATATATATATATATATATATATATATATATATATATATATATATATATATATATATATATATATATGTCGTACCTAGTAGCCAGAACTCACTTCTCAGCCTACTATTCAAGGCCCGATTTGCCTAATAAGCCAAGTTTTCCTGAATTAATATATTTACTATAATTTTTTTCTTATGAAATGATAAAGCAACCCTTTTCTCTATGTATGAGGTCAATTTTTTTTATTGGAGTTAAAATTAACGTAGATATATGACCGAACCTAACCAACCCTACCTAACCTAATCTAACCTATATTTATAGGTAAGGTTAGGTTAGGTAGCCAAAAAAAGCTAAGTTAGGTTAGGTTAGGTAGGTTAGGTAGACGAAAAAACATTAATTCATGAAAACTTGGCTTATTAGGCAAATCGGGCCTTGAATAGTAGGCTTAGAAGTGCGTTCTGGCTATTAGGTACGACATATATATATATATATGTATATATATATATGTATATATATATATGTCGTACCTAATAGCCAGAACGCACTTCTCAGCCTACTATTCAAGGCCCGATTTGCCTAATAAGCCAAGTTTTCATGAATTAATGTTTTTTCGTCTACCTAACCTACCTAACCTAACCTAACCTAGCTTTTTTTGGCTACCTAACCTAACCTTACCGATAAATATAGGTTAGGTTAGGTTAGGTAGGGTTGGTTAGGTTCGGTCATATATCTACGTTAATTTTAACTCCAATAAAAAAAAATTGACCTCATACATAGAGAAAAGGGTTGCTTTATCATTTCATAAGAAAAAAAATATAGTAAATATATTAATTCAGGAAAACTTGGCTTATTAGGCAAATCGGGCCTTGAATAGTAGGCTGAGAAGTGAGTTCTGGCTACTAGGTACGACATATATATATATATATATATATATATATATATATATATATATATATATATATATATATATATATATATATATATATATATATATATATATATATATATATATATATATATATATATATATATATATATATATATATATATATATATATATATATATATATATATATATATATATATATATATATATATATATATGTTGTACCTAGTAGCCAGAACACAGTTCTGGGCCTACTATGCAAGGCCCGATTTTCCTAATAGGCCAAGTTTTCAGAATTTCAATATTTTTCTCATTTTTTTCTTATGAAATGATAAAGCTATTCATTTCATTATGCCTGAGCTAATTTTTTTTAAATTTGAGTTAAAACTAACGTAGCTATATGACCGAACCTAACCAATCCTACTTAACCTATCTTAACCTAACCTAAATTAACATAACTAAATCAATAATTTATGTTCCTAGTATAATATAATAAAAATATTTAAAATATACCAATTAGAAACAATTTATTGAAAATAAAGAAAATCACTTGGCCCTTAGGCAAATCAGGCCTTGCATAGTAGGCTGAGAAGTGCGTTCTGGCTACTAGGTACATGTATACACACACACACACACACACGCACACAAATATAATGATGCATAAGCTGCAGAAACAGGCAGGAGTAACTGGTAGGGCGCTCCAGTGGATATGGGAGTACCTAAGCAATAGGAAGCAGAGTTACAGTGAGGGGTGAGACCTCAGAATGGCGTGAAGTCACCAGTGGAGTCCCACAGTGCTCTGTACTTGGACCTATCCTGTTTCTGATATACGTAAATGATCTCTCAGAGGGTATAGACTCATTCCTCTCAATGTTTGCTGACGACGCCAAAATTATGAGAAGGATTAAGACAGAGAAGGACAGCTTGAGGCTTCAAGAAAACCTGGACAAGCTACAGGAATGGTCAAACAAATGGCTGTTAGAGTTTAACCTAAGCAAATGTAATGTAATGAAGATAGGGGTAGGAAGCAGGAGACCAGATACAAGGTATCATTTGGGAGATGAAATACTTCAAGAGTCAGAGAGAGAGAGAAAGACCTGGGGGTTGATATCACACCAGACCTGTCCCCTAAAGCTCATATCAAGAGGATAACATCAGCAGCATATGCCAGGTTGGCTAACATAAGAATGGCCTTTAGAAACTTGTGTAAGGAATCTTTCAGAACATTATATACCACATATGTCAGACCAATCCTGGAGTATGCGGCTCCAGCATGGAGTCCATATCTAGTCAAGCATAAGACTAAACTGGAAAAGGTTCAAAGGTTTGCCACCAGACTAGTACCTGAGCTGAGAGGTATGAGCTACGAGGAGAGACTACGGGAATTGAACCTCACTTCGTTGGAAGACAGAAGAGTTAGGGGGGACATGATCACCACATTCAAGATTCTCAAGGCAATCGACAGGGTTGATAAAGACAGGCTATTTAACACAAGGGGCACACGCACTAGGGGACACAGGTGGAAACTGAGTGCCCAAATGAGCCACAGAGATATTAGAAAGAACTTTTTTAGTGTCAGAGTGGTTGACAAATGGAATGCATTAGGAAGTGATGTGGTGGAGGCTGACTCCATACACAGTTTCAAGTGTAGATATGATAGAGCCCAATAGACTCAGGAACCTGTACACCTGTTGATTGATGGATGAGAGGCGGGACCAAAGAGCCAGAGCTCAACCCCCGCAAGCACAATTAGGTGAGTACAGGTATATGCATGCATGCATGCAATTTAACATGGCAAGTTTGGCATAAATTTATGTAATTTTTAGCCAGTTCAGAGATACATTACTTGGTTTTGGTGTTTGGATACTGGCAACAGGACAGTGTTTACTACCAAGAATACAGTACATCTTTCTAAGCATTTCCTGATATCTTTCCATCTGCTAAAAACAAAGGAACAAATTAACTTACATATAATGCAAAAAAAACTAAATATTCTTATGATTTCTGTCAGTGCCATGTCCTGAATGATGAAAAACCAAACAATACCATAATTATTCTATTGTTTGGTATTAGGTACCTCTTATGTTTTGATATAACACTGAAGTATACTGAAAGAGTTCCTGCCATTTTTTGGCATCATTCTACGTACTAATGGACACTACATTTTACTGGTGACTTTACTCTAGCCACAAGGAAAATTTAATATGGCTTAGGCTACACATCTGATTTATAATACAGAAATATGGTATCAAAATAAATATAAAAGACAATGCACTATCTCCTTTGGTTGAATATAAAAATGAACACTGAAAATGCATGGCCTAGTAACCGTGCACATTGTAGCCATCACCAGCACAACTGAAAATATATATAGCCTACTTGATTATGTTTTGTTTCATTCGATTAAATATTGAGAAAAACATTTCATTGCTTTATGCCTAATTATTAATTTGACACAATATAATTCAGTACTACTAATGCAATCACTTTTTATGTTTACAAATAATATCATTATTACAAATAAATACATTTTGAAATGCAATAAAAATAGTTCCTATAGCTTTTTAATGTGTTGCAAAACATTTATAGCCGTTCAAAAATGTAATGATAATGTTCTCCAACAAATTATGGGAAGACAAGTCATATAAAATGTTTTAAGAAATGCTACAACAAAGGCACTATATATATCTTACATTATAGTTCAAGCTGACAATATGGCAACTGATTTTTCACAACCGAGAGTCAAAAAATAAGCTTACAATGAGAAAATCCAGTACAAAATTCCACACTGGAAGGCCTACTACTACTACACTGTATCAACGTAGGCCTAACAGGTACAGTACCTATAGTTTGGTCAATGATTTTACAAAATACTTGTCTAAACTATGAACCTCACTAGCACTATTTCTCAAAAATATGCAGTCAATGCCAGAAGCACTGAATATTTTATAAAATACAATTGATAATTCACGATTGCAAATTCATTAAAAACAATTCAGATAAATTTGTTAACATTTTCATATTTCCTTTCATTAAGAAAATTCAATCTAGAATAAGTCTTCAAATAAAATACATACTGTATTTATAAAATATAAATAGTCACTTAACCTGGGCAGCGATCTGGACACGGCGACAAGTAACGTCCAACCTTCTCCTGCAGCTGCAGAGGAAGGGCCGATTCAACCTTCCTCATCTTCCATTCATCTGACCCGTCACAGCAGTCACAAACACCATCGTTCACCCATGCCGAGGGAATTGATTCTGGGAAGGCTTTTATAAATTTGAGGCACGAGAACTTCCCATTAACACAGGCATTTGTTCTTGGTTCATCAGAGCCATCTTCTGGGCAGTCACAATAGTCATCGTTTACTTTACTCTGCGAAATCACTTTTCCCGACGTAACGCACTTAAACGTTGTCCTCAAACCCGCCTGTGACCCCGCACCCTTCTTGCCCTGGGAGTGTACTAGGTCGTCAGGGTTCGAGACACCTTTAGTCTTGCCAGTGTTCCTGGCTGGTGGTGGCTGCTGCTCCTTGAGCACAGACCCACTCTCGCCCTTCATGGACTTCTTGCTCTCACCGTCAGTCTTCAGCACCTGAACATCTTTCGGGTGCAACTTATATTTACCGAGGGATTTCTGCTTAGTCGAGTCTGTCTTGTCAACGTGCCGCTTGAGCGAGTTTGGGTGATGCTGACGAGGCTTGTTAGACTCACTCAGCTCAGCGACGAAGGTAAACTGGTAGACTATGAAGAGGACGGTGGCCACCACCAGCGCTCCCACCACAGTCTGCCTCCGCATCGGCAACGACCTCAACAACCGTCTGACAGACATTTTCCTCAAGTAACCTCTCGGAAGGGTCTTACAGCCAGTGTGGAGTGCGATATGCGCTTAAGAAGGCACCGTCTTGCTAACCATACTGCTTATGGTAGGTGTAATTAAGGGGAAGAGTTCCTCCTGCGGCACATACCGACCACCAGCTGATCCTTGTTTACGCCTGACGTCACCCGCCGCGCTCATGAACGCTTATGATCATCAGCCGCCACCTTACTATTTAGTCTTAAAAAAGAAAATACATTGTTTGAGAGGAGTCTTGTAGAAACTAGTAGGAGTAATTATAATATAATGCTTAAAAGTTCAGTGCTTAGCTCTTATGAAAATCGTGAAGTTGTTGTTTAGTCAGTTTTTTTTTTTGTATTGAGGCAGGTATTTTCTGCCCCTGATCCATGTATGACTAACCCTTCTGTGAGATGGGAATATTAGATGAACTTACAGCGGCTTGGTTTTGATCTACACTGTGTAATCTTTCATGTAGAATAGGGTAGTCACACATTGCTGTGTATACTTAAGTTTGTTAATAAAAAAAAGATCCAGACATGACAGGGCGGATCTTGTCAAAACTTTTAAAATACTGAACAATTTGGAGGATGTTGATCCAGACAATTTTTTCAAAAGGCCAGATATAATACAGACAAGGGGCAACGGTTTCAAGCTGAGCAAGCCACAATGTAGGACAGAAAACAGGAGATGCTTTTTCACCCATTGCGTTATAAACCTATGGAACTGCCTACCCGCTGAAGTTGTAAATGGCAAAACGCTGCTTTATTTTAAAATCTAGCTTGAACAAAAATCCTTAGTACAATGGAGGACCTTTGAAAAGCCATCGAATCCCTGTCCTTATCAAGACTAGTGGCCCTAATGGCCCTCAGGTAAATTGAGGTACATACTGTTAGTTTAATTTTATATATACTTTTTATTTTCCCTACAGTATATACAATAGTTTTCACATTCTTGTAAAGTCACTATCACGCATAGCATTTCAGGTACGTCCTTAATCCTAATTTTTCCTGGACTACGACCTGCCAAATTGTTTAAACACCAGGTACCCATTTACTGCTGGGTGAACAAAGGTGTACAGTTAAGGACTGGTGCCCAGTCAATCCTCCCTGGCCAGGATACGAACCCAGGCCAAAGCGCTCGCAAAGCATTGGGCGAATACTTTACCACTGTGCCACGGGGATTGCTGTTCATTATGTTTACAAATTGTATAACTATATAATTAAATTCACATACAGTATAAGCATGTGTATTTTCCATTTGTACCTGCAGGATCAACTTAGTAGCTCTTGGACCCTGCCTTGCTAACCATCAGTTGTTTAATGTACTGCCTCTTGACCTAATTTTCTCTCATATCTACTATTACACACCGGGTATATTTCTCTCATACACACATTTCCAGGATGCAGCCCATAACAGCTGTCAAACTCCCAGATACCTATTTTCACACAGGTGAACAAGGGCATCAGATAAAATAAACTACACATTTGTTTTTGCCTCGACCGGGTTTGATGACTGGGAATCAAACCCAGACTGTCCTTAGGACTACAACGCCCAAGTGCTATCTACATGATTGCGTTGCCCTATATTTATCTCAATTTACCAGAGGACCCCTCTCTCTAGTGGCCCCGACAAGAACAAGAAGTTGGCAGCCTGTTAAAGGTCTACTAAAGGTCCTCCCCATTTGTCCTGATGATTTTATTGAGCTAGATTTTTAAATTCAACAATGTTTTGGCATTTATCACTTAGCCAGGTAGGTGGTTGTATGGCTTTATTATTATTATAGGCTTACATTATATGCCCGAAACGCTTTGCGTAATAGTGGCTTTAGGCATTGTATGTACTAGCCCTATCTACAAATCTATCACTCTTTGTAAAATCTCTTGTATGTATGTACCTTACCTAAATAAACATTTGATTTGATTTGCTTATGACTCTTACCCATTTTCTATTCTAGTGTGGCTTACTGATCTTGAAACCATTTAAGCTTGAAACAATCGAACCGATTCAAACAAGTTTTCTGGATACATGTCTTCCAAATTGTTTAGTACTGTATTTTAAGAGAGTTTAGACACCACTTATCCCGAAATGCTGCGCGTACTAGTGGCTTTACAAGAGTGTAAACATAGTACACGAACACAAACTCACAAACCCAATGTACCTTCTTGTACAGTATATAAATAAATAAAATAAATAAATAATAAACTTAAATAGGTGTACTAGACAAACTATACAGTCCAGCTACAAGTGAAAAAGCATTTTTTTCCAACATTTTGTGGCTTGTTGAGCGTATTGCTCTTTGCGAGTTATACTAGACCTTTTAATGAAATATTGATTAATGTCTTCTAATTTATTCAGTTTACTTTTAATACGCTTGTTTGTATTGTTAGTCCTGAGGCCTTCAGTCTTTCTTATATGCGTTGGTTGAGTTACAGAATTTTTTTAGTGCGTTTATCTGTATGAAGGTGCACGAAGTCTCCAGGCTTAGATACAGTACAGTAGTCCAGGGGTTTGATTTGTACAACTGAATGAACACTTTCTTGGCATTAAAATCAAAGGTTGTTTGCTTATTACAGTCACCCCAGCCTGCTCTTCTAGTCATCCTGCTCCCATCTTTTGATTCCCGACTTACCTGAGGTAGCTGGGGTAGGGTAGGCTGGGTTCAAGTGTGGGTTCAACATCATCTGGTGGCAGCCTGGGTATGTGGTCAGAGAGTAGTTATCAAAAGAAGGCACCAAGCATGGTCAGTAAGTGCTATCAATGGGTTGCACAATGTTTCTCGGAAATTCATTGATGCCATGCAATATTCAGAGGGAGTTTGTATTTTGTAGGGTTTCAGAGTCCGCAATGCAGATGACACTTGTCATTGTTACTGGCTACAAGCTCTCCTTAAAACAACTAGAAGTAATGAACACAGTCTCCCTCTTTCCACAGAAAATACTAAGACTCTTGCCTTAAAAAAAAAATCAACTTCCCTATTTTCAAAGTCAATAATCAGCACATCGAAAACTACCTTGGCATTGGTTTTAACATTAAAATTGTAAATGAATTAGTATTATGTCAAATGTGCCATCATGGTTTTACATTACTCTACACCTTGTGAATAGATAAAAGTAAGAAGGTTTGTTAGGCATTAGAATTTCATAATCAAAGTACAGTACTCTTTTTAGTTTTAGTTTATATATTTATTTTCTAATATACAGCAGCCATCTATGCTTGAATTAAGACATTATTAACAATAAGTAGAATAAAATAACATTATTATACCCTCCAAACTGGTACATTTTATTTAACATATATTTTAATACATCAACATATTAAGTGGAAAAAGTGATTGAAGGCAATTCAAATAATTAAATGCCAATACCCAATTCATTATTCATTATTTAATTTTGCCAATTTATTTCCACAGTTTAAAAAATATAAAGTTGGTGGTAGTGCCACTGTCTACAGGGCTCGCCCAATGACCGTTACTAAGCTTGTAGTTTGTAACTGTTATACAGAAACATTAAACAAAATTTAACTTATTCACATTTTGATTTTATAAAGTTACAGAATATTAAAAGTTCTAAATTTTTTTTTTATGTCAAGACAAATATATACATTCTTCAGCACATAATCAATGCAACGCCATTGGCTTTGTGATGTTTAAGATCCAGACCACAAATGTTAGTAATAAATTTGATCTGAAGTCTCCATGGCAGGAGCAATCATAGACATGCCCTTAAAATGCCTTTTACTCTGCCAAAATTACCGTAAATGAGAATAGCATGAAAACCAAAATATCATGACTATCAAAACTCAAAAATTTGCATGAATTCATCATAAGAATCAATGGTACATCAACAGCATGATTAACAGTGACTCCAAAGGGTAGAACTACAATTTCTGCATGATAGTGACAAGAGATGAGGAACCACGGATACTATATCAATAACTTGTTACAATATTAAAGAAATGATAAACTTCATCCTTATCATAAACTGCAACCTTTGTATTGCAAATTTTGCACGTAACTGGGTGAAATAACTCATCTTCACTACATGCAAATGTAACTTTTTTAGGTAATGAAGATTTAGTGGCACCAGTATGTGGGGCAACTATGGTGGGGGATGAAGAAATATTGACTTCACATGTTTCCTCAATATCCATGGCACTGTTTTTTTGACCCACTCCAGAGGTAGTCTGGGTATCATCTGGCTTTATCGGTGGTATCTCTCTTCTAGTTTGAGAGTTCTGGGTACCATCTGGCTCCGCCTGTACTATCTCACTGCCAGCTTGAGAGCTCTGGGCACCATCTGGCTCCACCTGCAGCATCTCACTGCCAGTTTGAGAGCTCTGGGCACCATCTGGCTCCACCTGCAGCATCTCACTGCCAGCTTTAGAGCTCTGGGCACCATCTGGCTTCCCCTGCATCATTTCACTACCAGCTTGAGAGCTCTGGGCACCATCTGGCTTCCCCTGCATCATCTCACTACCAGCTTGAGAGCTCTGGGCACCATCTGGCTTCCCCTGCATCATCTCACTACCAGCTTGAGAGTTCTGGGCACCATCTGGCTTCCCCTGCATCATCTCACTACCAGCTTGAGAGTTCTGGGCACCATCTGGCTCCACCTGCATCATCTCACTACCAGCTTGAGAGTTCTGGGCACCATCTGGCTTCCCCTGCATCATCTCACTACCAGCTTGAGAGTTCTGGGCACCATCTGGCTCCACCTGCAGAATCTCACTGCCAGCTTGAGAGCTCTGGGCATCCTCTTGCTTCATCCTTTGTTTACTTTTATTTTTCTTCTTATTTTTATAAAAGTCACGCTTCTTTTGGTCTTTCCTCGGGAACGTCAGATTCTCCATCATGTTCACATTGCAATTAAAAACAAACATCGCTCGATACTGGTTGTGATATACCTCATGTCTGAAAAAATAAGATGTTTTATACTTAATCTTATTTATGCCATACATACACATACTACCTATTCCATCATTGTTATTAATTTGTTAGTGTTAATTCAACCTCTATGGGAGATTTTCCCCATCTTCAAATTTGGATAAAATACTAAATTAATGTAGCTCTTGCTACTAAAGCTCTTGAAAGTAATAAATTGTGTAATTAATCATGTATCCTATTCACAATTATTAATAATAATATATTACTAAATAAGAAAATTAATTAGAGTAATGAGGTGACTGGAACCTGCGATCAAGGAACTCCCCGCTTACCTCTGTAACATGACAGAACAAGTTATAAAACCTGGGATTTCACTGAATCCACAGGAACTCTGGAGGCTTCTATTGAAGCCAGTCCAAGTTTTACATATAACCCCCAAGCATTCCAGTGTAGGTTAAGTAGTTCATCAACTAAATGTTTCAGCTGCAGATACACAAAGAAATCAATCTAATCACAATCTATACACAATCCTATTATCAATAAACCCTTTGTTTTGCATCTATACTTTATATAATAATAATTATATAAAGGTGAAGAAAAGATCCAATACTTGGGCAAGTGTATTATTAAATCAAATTTTTGGATGAACCTACATCCTTTATCAAGGGTGTGTAAACAGTGTATTGAACAAAGATTCTAAGCGCTTGCATTTGTGTGTCGGGCAGAGTGCTTCATGTGGCGTCCATCATTAGATGTTATGATTATGCTCCCCCAGGCACTCTCTAAAGGATGTTGGAATTTCTGAAGCATGAACAAATGTCCTGGATTCTGGGAACTGTAGGCCAGGTACCACAGGAACATTATCCCCCATTCTAAACCCAAACAAGGTCTGTGTTTATATGAATTAATAAAATTTGTTAATTTACCTTAATTAAGAATAATTTTGCAGTTAATCGGATCATTTTACTAAATGATTTGTTGCCCTTTATCATTTCTATAGAATCTATAATTACCCCTTCTAGTAGTTATCTCTCTTTTATATTTGAACTGTTATATACATTTCTACTATAATTGAAATCCCAACAATGGTTAGCAATGGCATTATTCCTATCAAATTTCATTACTGCTTTCTTGTGTTCATCAACTATTTCAATAAACCTTTGCCCGTGTCTCCAGCATACGATAAATTGCAATCGCTGCAATTTACCACAAACACCATTCCCTACATTGTTCTTATTACTACCATTATCAACGTTACCACCGTTACCTCTACCCTCGTTTCTGATATTACCTTCACTAACACCACTCCTGCTGTTATTATTAACACTGCCACATTCTCATCAATATTCCTATCGTTACTCCCGTTGTTATTATTGTCATTATCGAGTTTGTAATGGAAAAGTTGTTTCCTAATCATAGAGAAGTGTTGGGTCTTTTCTTCATTTTCAGTCAAGCAATATGGTACTGTAGTAAGCTTCTTGATTATTATAATATATATATATATAAATTTGTATTCATAAAATATGCATAAACACATATTAAAGAGGTATATTTGTGGGTACAGGGTTCAATAAGAACATATGGCATAAAATAACATTTCCATCTATCATCTAAAGAGGTACTAACTGCTATCAGAACTTGGTTCTTCCTCTGTACCTTACCTCTGGCAATCCATACAGAGTGTAGTGAGACATGCTGGACAGTTGAGCACTGCATCACTACGAGGCAACTTCTGAGGCTGGCTGGATGTGTCAAGTTGACTTGTGGATCTGTAAATATCACTGTGTAATAAAAAGCTTCAAGACAATTCATTAAACAGCTATAAACCAAATTTCAAACTTTCAAAATATATAAAATAAGGAATAGCTTTTGAGGAACAACCCTCATTACTATGCAACCTAAATTCCAACAATGTTATGAAAGTCAACCACAAATGCTAAATTCTGAAGTCTAAATATGCAAAATAAGTTAAACAGAGAGAGTGAGAGAGAGAGAGAAAGAGCTATAAATGATGGGATAGAAAGTTTAATGATTTACCTCTTTTTTTTTGGTTGATAAGATCTCCTCATCTTGTCTACCCATTCCTGATCTTTATCATCCATTGTCGGGTCATAAAAAAGCTCATCGTCTGTCAGAATTCGCCGCTTTTCCTTCTTCTTGCTTTTGAAGGCTCTGTTTGAAGTCTCAGCAGCTGCAAATGAAACTAATACTAAAATTCTACTTGCAAAAATGATTATTGGCCACACAGCACTTTGAATAAACTATTTCTGCCAAATTCCCTCCCTCCCTCCCCCTCAGTGGATCCTTTCAGTTTGTCATATGTATTCCCCTCAGCAGCTCCCTTGAGCTTGTCATATGACAAGCTCAAAGGAGCTACTGAGGGGGGAACTCATATGTTGTCATTGTGACTCTTCATGTATGTTTGTTTATACTCCAATGTCTCAAAATGTTGCTTCCATGCTTAGATATCCATCTTAAGACCATCAAGATGGCCATCAAGAGAAATTTGGTGACTTTTTTTTAACAAGATAATCCAAAAATTTAAATTGCACATAGTGTGTCTGAACCCCATGTAGTGCCAGAATTACACATTCAACTTTAAAAGCATGAGTAGTCAAGACTTATTGTCAGCATCATATATTACTTGGTGACTGCCAAACACTGTATTAGAGATAACATTTAACAGTGTTATTATTCCATAGATCAAGCATCAAGTGTAAAGGGTCTCTTAGTACAGTTGGCTTCATTCTCGACTCAAAGTTGGGAATCCCAGGTTCGATTCCTGGGTGGGACAGAAATGGTTGGGCACATTTCCTTTCACCTAATGTGATTGTTCACCTAGCAATAAATAGTTACCCGGGAGTTAACAAACTTTTGGGGGTTGCATCCTGGGGAAGGCTAGTAGTTTGACCTTGGGAGGAGGTTGATTCAACCCTAAAGTATATACATACACATAGGCTTCCTGTTTCCAACAAAATTAATTATTATTATTATAATGTAGTGTCCCTCTTCACCCCCTTCCCCCATTTACTTTTTTTTAGACAGTAAAAAACCTTTTGTAAAACCTTTTCACAATATAAATTTTTGCAAATTTCTATTGCTCCCTTATCCCCTCAATGAGGCAGAAAAGCTCATGGAGATTAGAGATCAAGCCCCAAGAAAGAAGACAGGGCTGAGACATGCAGTTACTGAGGAAGAGCCCAGAAAATGGCTTCTGGCAACCCAAGACATAATGGTGCCTGCAGGTCTGCAGGCACCATTATGTCTTCTGCCCTTAGTCTAGACCAAGAGCGGAAGCCGAGATGTGGACAGAACTGAAGCTGGACAAACTAACCGCTCAATGGCCGAGGCATAAGCAGAAGAGGAAGCTAGCAGACACTTAGCCTAAGTGTCCCAAACACTAAAACTCCGAATCACAGAACAGCAAAGAATTGGGAAGAATGCCATCTCCAGCAGACAGGGGCACCGACAGCCTGTACTGCAAAGTACAGTCACACAAAATGGCAGCAGCCTGATAGGTCCAGGGTAGGCAAATGACACAGATGTAAGGGTGCAAGAAGCCCAGCACCCAATTAGCTAAATGATAATTGCAAAAGGAATGACCAATAGTGTTTAAAAACACAAAATCACACCCAGAAAAAATAGTAAAAACAACAGTACTGTATAAGGCAAAGAGGCTGATGGCAAAGCCATAACAATATAACCAAAAATGTAAGACTAAAAAAATAACCAACAGAGGCAAGGACAACATTCTACCTAGATTGTCATGCCTATAGACAGGCATGCTAGGTACGAATGAGGCATCTCTGCTGAGTTGACCCCGAACCCCAATCATAAATGCCCAGCAGGGAAAAGCATAGGTAGCCAAGAATGTGAACAATCACTTACACATCCCCAAGTGTACCCTCAGATAAAATACAAAGCATCAACATGCACAGGAATCAGGACTAGGCACAATTACAGCATGTTAGAAAGCACACAGCTAACTACTACACTCCTCAACATAACTTGCAGTAGAGGTCTGGTGTAGATAACTTAATCAATAACTTATAACTTTAAATATACGATCCTTTGGTGAACTGAAGTAATAGGCATCAAACATAAAATACTGAGGTCAAGTAATGAAAATATGATAGGGACATGGAACAATGAGATGTATGATATGGAAAGTAAGATTTGTGTATACATCATTCTATATATGCCACAATGCTCATACTTTGCATGCTTGAATACACCACTTACCCTCAGGATCAGAATCATCCGAGTCAAAATATACATCATCGTAAAAGTTTGATGCATCCTCTGAAAGTTCCTTCTCTTTATCACCAAGTTTTGATCCTTGGCTACTTCTTGTTTCATTTGTGCTGGTCTGTGGTTTATTCTTGCTGAAGGATGTAGCGAGACGTTTCATAGTCTGTGAGAGCTCCGATGCCATTTCTCTCTCAAAATCATCATTGTCATCCTCATTACTAACTAGAAACAAAGCAAAAAAGGTAGACAAAATTAAAGTGCTTGTTTCATGGTACGTACAATAAAAATAAAATGATGAACAAAGGAAAAAATTTTTTTTTACACAAACTACTTTGCATATACAAGCATTATTACATAAACAAAAGAAATAAAACAGTACAGTGTAGTATGTCTGCCAAGATGCCCAAAATGTGAATGCACGAATATCTGAGACATGGAAATAAGTTTATACTCTTGCATTCAGGTGATGGTAGGCATGGAAATAAGTTTATACTTTTGCAATCAGGTGAAGTTAAACCAAATATAATGATCTATGAACACCAAAGATAAATTTAAAAAATATAAAAAAATTACTGGAAAGTATGCATGAGTTGCATTCAACAATCCACCAAAGTTACCATTTCTCATTTAATTTTAAGATTTCCCCTTAACACATGTCCATATTCTCTCTTTTCTTTTTTTACATTATGCCCTCTTTAAAAGTTGTACTATCATTTGTTAAATTTGTAGCTTTCTTCTTGTTTGGCATTAAATGTTGTCACACAATTTCCCTGCATAGCAGGGTAAACTGCCTCTTCCCTCTCACCTTCATCGTTGACAGCTTAGTCACGACAAATATTCAACACCATCAAGAATCAACAAATCTACAAATACGTATGTTCTGGGGTTCCAGCCAGTGCTAGATGCACTGTCTAGACAACACTTCCCCTTCCTTTCTATGCACCGTCACTTACACACCTCACCGGCAGTAGTTACCTTGCCAGCTCCTCGTTCAAAGTGACATTACCGCAGAATGTGATGTCACCAGCAAGGGATGTGCTCCCCGACCTGCATCATCAAGTCAGTCTCTATCAGTGCCCTCCATGGGGTCAACACTGTCCACAATCTACCACCAAGCAGTTTAGAAACGGCTTCATGCACAGGTTGGTGTTTTACATGTACTCTTTCGTATGCCTAGTTCTTCTTATTGTACAAATTGATTAATGTAACTTCCATATGTACATATTATTTTTTGCTATTGTTTAACAGCCAACGATTGTAAGTTAAGCATTGATGTAAATTATATGTTCTTTATTTTACCTTGAAGAAAATTTATATTTTTTTCCCTGAGTTTTTAATGCTTGCCCACTTTTCACACTGCAAAGGACAATGCAGCTTTTTTTTCAAATTGGATTCAAACCTCATTGTTCATTTGAAGAGAAACATTGGAGGTAGAACTCCTAAACCACAGCCACAGTGCATGGGGGACAATGTGTGTAACCCCCTGATTGGGCTTCAGTGGAAGTCTTGGGATCCCTAGAGGAATCAGTTGAATCCCAGGTTGCATTGCTTTTGAGCATGTTGTGGTATAGTGGTCTAGAAAGTGGGATTGGGAGTACCAAGTGTGTGGGTTCGAATTCTCCTCATGGCTCCTACTGATTTTCTCATCGATACATCACATTAATGTGATTTCATTGTGCATAAACATAGGTTGCAGCTTGCACACAATTACAGTACTAAGCTTACAAAAAATTATCTTTAATGAAACTGTTTATTACTCACCTTTTTTTTGTATTTTTGTGGATGCAGGTACTATGAAAAACTTTTCATCATCTTCATCTGAACTGTAAAAAAAAATACCTTTAAAGAAAATGTATTCACTAATATACTACGAACACTGTTACATATTTTCTAGTGAAAGCTGGTAAAATATTTTTGCAATTAAACTGTGTACAGTAAATTTTATACATTACTGTACCAGTACTATCACAAAAATTATAAACTTTAACATTTCTTCAATTAGATATCATAATTTTTCCAAACTCATAAGGAATATACAGCATTAGTAATGCATCAAAGAACTCTTCTTCATGAGGTATCTGATATTAATTACTCAGTAATGTAGCAGTATCTAGTAACTTTGTGGTACCATAAGATTTCACACCTGACTGTCTTATGCATATCAATATGCTATATACATTATATTTAAAGCATACAATAAACAAGAAATTTAGATGAATGATAAAGTAAAAATGCATTAAAACAAACTACAGGACTCTGTTCTAACACAACTAAACTTAATCTAAAAACAGAACCTACCCGAAATGCTGTGCATACTAGTGGCTTTACAAGAATGTAAATACATCGTGCTATGTACTCTCATAAACCCAATGTAACTTCTTGTATATATAAATAAAAAAAAAAAAAATCTTAAAAAAAAAAGTTAAAAAATGGTTCATTCCAGAACCAGCATTCGCTGTGCAAATATATTTTTGATTTTTTTTCTACATAGCCTAGGCACTAGTTTTAGGTTAAATTTATTCATGCCTGGTTTGACTATTAAGTCAGGCAAGCCTAAGTTTAATTTGATACAATGTAGAGAAACAATGAAAACAGTTGGAGGATGTACAAATTCTCTAGTACTAAGGAAATAAAAAATTGAAACATTACTGCAGTTGACTATTGCCATAAGATCTGCTATTTATAATGGAACTAATGTGGGTAGGAATTTAATGAAGAAAATGTAATCAAATTATAAAAAGGGCTGATAGACGGTACCTGATACATTTCGAGCTGCACAGAATATCGTCATCATCGCTCAAGTCACAGTAATAATCGTCATCGCCCTCGGACCTCTTCCCAAACAGCGATATATCCATCTTGACAAGAACCACAGAGCCCTTAAACGTCTTCACAACGCTGAGATCGTGACGTCTCCGCCACCAGACGTAAACAAATGCTGGAAACGGTCCCTCACATTACCAGGTACCTCGTGTATAAACGATTACACTGCCAAACGTAGCCTGCACTTATCATAAAAAGGATAGAGTTAAAATATAATATTTTATGAGTTGCCTAAACTATATGTGCTGGTAAAAGGGGTTAAATTTAATTTTCCGATGTCGAGGACAGGAAGCCTATCTTCAGGCTTCTCGAGGTCCTCCTAGGTTAGAATACAATCCTCAATAATTGATTAACTCCAGGGTACCTATTTAACAATTAGATGAATATAGCATCATTTGAAAGGAAACGTCCCCAACCGCTTCTGTCCTGCTAGGGATTGAACCTTGGTCCCTCGATTGATAGCAGAGGCGAGGCAAATAGTACAAGAACGCCATCAGACCATAAAAAGTCTGAGACAAAGTGAATCTTACGATAGCTATATTCCCCCTATTATCACTGTGCCACATCGCTAATATTCAAGTAATATCCAAAGATTTATTACAAGTAGGAAATTAATTATTAGTGCTAAGATATTTAAACAAAAATCTTAAACTAAGTAGCTAGGCCTATCTCAATGCAGGCGATGAGTCACAATAACGTGGCTAAATTATGCTGACCAGACCGCACACTAGAAGGTGAAGGGACGACGACGTTTCGGTCCGTCCTGGACCATTCTCAAGTCGATTCCAGCCCGTCGATTAAGCCTATCTCAAATTTTCCTACTGTAGATACATTAGTGTTAGTGTATAAGTTGTCTGTAGGCTCACACTGCCTTCACATAAAAATTATACCTGTTGTATTTAGTAATTCATATAATTCATTGTGTCGGGGGACTCAGTGCATATAAGAAGCCAGGCCGCCATCTGATTGAGGATAATCCCTTTCTTTGGGGGGACACAAGGGAAGACATTATAGTGTATTATAAAAATACATTGACTCATATAAGAAGGATGAGAAGATGATACGATATACACGGGAGACATCTCCCGTCACGCAGGGTGCAGTCGCACCTCCACAGATCTCCAGTATCATCTATTGATACTGGTAATGGCTCAAAAGGACCACCACTTACGGGCTATTCATGCCCGTGCCACCTTTTGGGTGGGTTAATTTTCATCAATCAATCGATACGATATATAATTGACAGGAATTGCAAGCCTTGCAGTGAAAACAGAAGGATTCGTCCTGTCATTTATATAACAACTCTCGTACATCTTGCCTCATTATGAGAAATAACATCTCTGCCTCCTCGCTGCAACCCATCCTTCGAATTGACAGTACGTTTTAATTCTAAGTGTAATAAGTACATTTTCCGACTGTCATACATAGTACATAATTGCACTTATGGGGCTGTTACATTTACTTCCCCATTTTTGGAGGACGGGCTGGAAATATATTGTACATTGGAAATACCACGAATACATTGAGTAGACTTACGCTTCATTTGCAGAAGGGAGGTATCAAGCAACATCTTTCTCAACACCATCCTGAGCCGCCAAGACAGTGAAATATACGACAATAATCACACACATCGACGATTGTAGGAGGCATCGTACGCTTGAGGCTGTGTTCATGCGGAAGCTGACACCAGTAATCAACATCCAGATGAATTCGACTTCAAGCATACAGCTGTTTGATGGTCCTCCATTGACCCAGAGGGAAGATAGCAGACCTGGGGGGATAGCTAGAAGCCGGAGTAAGGCAACAATCACCTCACCCTATCCACACATAAATCACAATAGCGTGATATATCAAATGAGCAAATCCACAAGGGCAATGATGAGGGTTCGAACCTACGCACGGGATGTTCCCAGACGTGCCATAGTCAACTGAACCATCACATGGTAAAAGGACCATGTGGTGGTACCGTAAAATTACTCTTTTACGTTGCCTTTTGGAACGTAAAAGACCTGCTGCATGGGTAACAGCTTCTCCCCCCGTATCAACCTACCCTGGCTTTGCGCCCTGGAGAGGCCACTCCAGACTGACAATCAGAGCGCAACTCCATAGTCTCCTGAGACTGACGGATGCCTACAAATATTATTCTTAAGAAAACAAAACTAACTGATCTCATTAATTCACATAACCACAGATATCGTGATATCCAGAGTCGGGATAATAGTTCCACAGAACCCTGGCCACAGTTCCCAGAAATCAGGATAATTGAGTATTCTTTTGAATACTGAATATGCAATGCGTTTTAGTGGCTTTAGGTATTGTATGCACCAGCTCTATCTATGACTCCAACATTACGGTTGTAACTCATCATCTATGTATGTACTTTTCCCGAATAAAAATTTGAATTTGAATTTGAAACGTTGGCATCCGTTGCCGAGTCCCAGGAAAGCATAATCAAAATTTACGTCATTAATCATAATGATGGATGCCAAGTGAAGCGCTTTGCTAGAGTCATCTTTTTCTAGGGGGAAAAAGATTCTAGGAAAAAAACCCTAGAATATTTTTCAAAACATTGTACACGACACCTTGAGAACGGATATAGGTTATGCCCGAAAATTTGATTTTTAATAGACTTACTAAACTTGGGTATTTCCTTCACCTTCATTTAAGGGTTACGGTATCTCTTCTTGAGGTTATCTTGAGATGATTTCGGGGCCTTTTAGTGTCCCCGCGGCCCGGTCCTCGACCAGGCCTCCACCCCCAGGAAGCAGCCCGTGACAGCTGACTAACTCCCGAGTACCTATTTACTGCTAGGTAACAGGGGCATTCAGGGTGAAAGAAACTTTGCCCATTTGTTTCTGCCTCGTGCGGGAATCGAACCCGCGCCACAGAATTACGAGTCCTGCGCGCTATCCACCAGGCTACGAGGCCCCCATTGTGGTAATTGTATTGTGGTAAGTTTCTTTAGATTATTATTGTTATTATTATTAAGTAAATCCGTAGGAGCCGAGATAAGTTCCAGGAACCCCAGTATCATGGCCCCTGGGGATGGTCTCAGGGGAACCCCAGTATCATGGCACCTGGGGATGGTCTCAGGGGAACCCCAGTATCATGGCCCCTGGGGATGGTCTCAGGGGAACCCCAGTATCATGGCCCCTGGGGATGGTCTCAGGGGAACCCCAGTATCATGGCCCCTGGGGATGGTCTCAGGGGAACCCCAGTATCATGGCCCCTGGGGATGGTCTCAGGGGAACCCCAGTATCATGGCCCCTGGGGATGGTCTCAGGGGAACCCCAGTATCATGGCCCCTGGGGATGGTCTCAGGGGAACCCCAGTATCATGGCCACTGGGGATGGTCTCAGGGGAACACCAGTATCATGGCCCCTGGGGATGGTCTCAGGGGAACCCCAGTATCATGGCCCCTGGGGATGGTCTCAGGGGAACACCAGTATCATGGCCCCTGGGGATGGTCTCAGGGGAACCCCAGTATCATGGCCCCTGGGGATGGTCTCAGGGGAACACCAGTATCATGGCCCCTGGGGATGGTCTCAGGGGAACCCCAGTATCATGGCCCCTGGGGATGGTCTCAGGGGAACCCCAGTATCATGGCCCCTGGGGATGGTCTCAGGGGAACCCCAGTATCATGGCCCCTGGGGATGGTCTCAGGGGAACCCCAGTATCATGGCCCCTGGGGATGGTCTCAGGGGAACATGGCCCAGTATCATGGCCCCTGGGGATGGTCTCAGGGGAACCCCAGTATCATGGCCCCTGGGGATGGTCTCAGGGGAACCCCAGTATCATGGCCCCTGGGGATGGTCTCAGGGGAACCCCAGTATCATGGCCCCTGGGGATGGTCTCAGGGGAACCCCAGTATCATGGCCCCTGGGGATGGTCTCAGGGGAACCCCAGTATCATGGCCCCTGGGGATGGTCTCAGGGGAACCCCAGTATCATGGCCCCTGGGGATGGTCTCAGGGGAACCCCAGTATCATGGCCCCTGGGGATGGTCTCAGGGGAACACCAGTATCAGTATCATGGCCCCTGGGGATGGTCTCAGGGGAACCCCAGTATCATGGCCCCTGGGGATGGTCTCAGGGGAACCCCAGTATCATGGCCCCTGGGGATGGTCTCAGGGGAACCCCAGTATCATGGCCCCTGGGGATGGTCTCAGGGGAACCCCAGTATCATGGCCCCTGGGGATGGTCTCAGGGGAACCCCAGTATCATGGCCCCTGGGGATGGTCTCAGGGGAACCCCAGTATCATGGCCCCTGGGGATGGTCTCAGGGGAACCCCAGTATCATGGCCCCTGGGGATGGTCTCAGGGGAACCCCAGTATCATGGCCCCTGGGGATGGTCTCAGGGGAACCCCAGTATCATGGCCCCTGGGGATGGTCTCAGGGGAACCCCAGTATCATGGCCCCTGGGGATGGTCTCAGGGGAACCCCAGTATCATGGCCCCTGGGGATGGTCTCAGGGGAACCCCAGTATCATGGCCCCTGGGGATGGTCTCAGGGGAACCCCAGTATCATGGCCCCTGGGGATGGTCTCAGGGGAACCCCAGTATCATGGCCCCTGGGGATGGTCTCAGGGGAACCCCAGTATCATGGCCCCTGGGGATGGTCTCAGGGGAACCCCAGTATCATGGCCCCTGGGGATGGTCTCAGGGGAACCCCAGTATCATGGCCCCTGGGGATGGCCCCTCTCAGGGGAACCCCAGTATCATGGCCCCTGGGGATGGTCTCAGGGGAACCCCAGTATCATGGCCCCTGGGGATGGTCTCAGGGGAACCCCAGTATCATGGCCCATGGGGATGGTCTCAGGGGAACCCCAGTATCATGGCCCCTGGGGATGGTCTCAGGGGAACCCCAGTATCATGGCCCCTCAGGGGATGGTGGGGATGGTCTCAGGGGAACCCCAGTATCATGGCCCCTGGGGATGGTCTCAGGGGAACCCCAGTATCATGGCCCCTGGGGATGGTCTCAGGGGAACCCCAGTATCATGGCCCCTGGGGATGGTCTCAGGGGAACCCCAGTATCATGGCCCCTGGGGATGGTCTCAGGGGAACCCCAGTATCATGGCCCCTGGGGATGGTCTCAGGGGAACACCAGTATCATGGCCCCTGGGGATGGTCTCAGGGGAACCCCAGTAT